AGGAATAGATCTCTTGGCACTCAGAGTGCAAAAAGTGATCGCTCGAGCTAAAGCAGCTCTCCAGGGCATACAGCATGCAGTGGGACAGCTCTGTTCCCACACAATAGTAGCTGGTGGTACAGATACAAGCGAACTGAACAATTCAATGCAGTATCACTTTTCTGGTTGAGATTTTTTTTTTCGTATTTTGTGTTTCCCACAGTGGATTATTTTGATCTGTTTACTGGTTAGGATGTTTATTTTTTCTGGAGAAAAGAAAAACAATAAATGCTTTATGAAAGCAGCATAAGAACAAAGTATAGAAAATCAAAGGAAAATCCTAAAATGAACTCTTCTTGCCCTAGGGCAGAGAATATGGCTGCAGTATCCTAGTGTTCCACTCATGTGGGTAAGTTTTGGTTTTGTGAAATGTTACACATATGCCAAGTTGCTGCAGATATCTGTATAACCCTTTCTTTGTCTTGCTGTAGCAGGTAGTTATCAGTTTGGTCAATGCAGTGCACAGCATGGTCCCAAGCCTTCAGGCACATAGGTTCGGAGTCAGTTGCCTAATCACAGCCATCTATGTTGCGATGCCCTCAGGTTTCGTCCCTGGTCTGCTGCTGCCTCTTCAAAAAAAGGCACGGATCTCATGCAGAGCCTGTGTTATACGCCGGCTTTGTAGATCTCTTGGATACATAAGACATCTAAAATAGCTGTAGACACCCATGTTTAGGCAACTGAATACTCACTTGCACTGTATCCATTCAATCAGAAGGACTGTTTAGGCAACTGCAAGACAAAGCCTTTAGATTTCAGGGAAGAAGACTTCTCACCTTCTTAGCTACCTATATTCTGCTGGCCTTGTGTGGAGAAATACTCTCAAACATAAATAGCAGTGTGTAATAAACTCACAGGGAAGGGTTCCCTAATGCATTCACTTATATGATCAGAAAGTTCTTAGCAATAAAGCCTGAAAGTCATTTGGCCATCACCACTGAGCACTGGCAGACCTCGTAAGTCTAGCTTCTTGGGCAGAGAGACTTGCAAGACAGCAGACATGCAGTGGGTGGTTATGCATACAGTGGTCAATCAGCTGCCATCCAGACAGAGTTGAGCTATGTTTGACACTATTCTATGCTTGTAACCACTGAGTGCTTCCAGGTCAGGTGACAAAGTGCTAATTAGAACACAGCAGCATGAAGGGAAGGAGTTTTCTGCCTGCTCACTGATACACATAACTGTGAGCCAGGCTCTGTCCCTAGCCCTGCTGCTTGTTCCATCACAGGCCTGATTAAAAGACCGACTGATGCAGAGAGGGTCTTTGATTCAAATCAATTAGATTTGGAAGGCAATATCCATGAAATCCCTGGGGCCCTTTTCACATCTCCACATGCTACCAAGTAATCAACAAACCATTTATGTAACCCTTAGGTGCTCCATCGTCCTGGCACCTTTGGCTAGAAAAGTCCCTCCCTCCTATGTGCAGAGAGTGGCCACCTGAAGCGTTCAGGATCCTATTCTGCTAAGCGACTGTTTAACACTCAGACATTGTGAGACTAAGGTTTTGTGGATGCCAGCTACAGTAACTCTACTCTGCTTCCATCACCTCATTTAGGGAGGGATGAATTCATGATTTTTTTACACAAAAAGTGGATAAAACTGTCTCTGTTAGCCATCCTGGCATTGTTCAACTTCCATGTTCCCAAAGGAGCTTAATCTCAGCAAAGAAAAGAAAGGCAGGAGGCAACTGCAAGGCTTTTGGTCAGTAAAATCATTCCAAATCCTTGTGTGCCTAGATTTGAAGAACTTTTAAATCCCAGAGGGCTCACAAAATGCAATTTGGCCTTTGCACTGTTTCAAGAATGAACCATAAAACTAACACCCTGGAGCAATTCTCATCTCTGTTCATATGAATTGACCCATGCACCAGTAACTCTAATGTAACTTCATGAAAGTCAATCAAGTGGTGAAGCTTCCACACTGAAATTACTAAAGAAAGGAACTTCTGTCATGCCAGACTGCAAATGAAGCTTAGGGGAACAGTTTCAATCCTGGAAGAAGAAAGTTCCCAGTTAGGCAGGGTAGCTCACATCCCAAGAGCCTGTTTTTAATCATAACCTCTACAACCCAGTTACATAGCTCACGCTTTACTACTTGCATAGTAGTTGCCAACTGGATGGAAACCTGACTTGGTATTTTCCAGTTGATGGGAAAGCTTTCTGAAGGATATTTGCTTGAGCAGCACAACAGTTTATCATGAGCCTTCCTAGAAATGAAACATAGAAATCACTGCTTCCATTAAATGCACTCACTTGCTCTAGACAATGTGAGATTCATCCTAACACCTTGCTGAACTCTCACAAACCATGCATCAGGGCTGCTTTAGACACAGGCAGAAAAGGTAATTGCTAAGACTAGCATTTTTCTAGAATGGAAAACCAGCCCTGCTACCTATTGGCTTTGGCTCTACTACTTGCCTCATCAGCTTGTACCAGCCCCCACATCCGCCACCCACCTTCTGGGAGGCGGAAGCAAAGCACTCTACAGTGTTGGTGGGCTCCTGTTGCTGTAGGATATGGCATGTACCAGCATGTCCTGCAACACAGTGCTATTTACTTCTCAGCCTTGATGTGGCAAGACACAGTTTTGTCTGCATCACTGAGAAGCGTTGAGCTAGCTCAGCCTGGAACTTTGTATGGAGTCCCTTTGGCACAGATGATTGCACAAGCAGGTCCAGATACCTCTGAAATGGAATTTGTTTGGAAAAAACCCACCCAACTATTTTAATTTGAATCTTAAAAGAAGGTAGAAAATAAAGATAGATCACTGTCATTCCCCCTCATGGTTTCATTCTTACGCGGGGAGTAACTTCAGCTGCATCCAAACCACAATGAACTAATTTCAGCCCATGCTTCAATGTGAGCTAACGTGCAGTGTATTTAATTGGTACCAACTGAACGAAGGTCTTCGAAACAGGATTTGGCTTAAGGTTAGAATGTGGAAGGAAAAGATCTCCCTTTTCACCTGCAATATTGTATCTTGAGTGCTGATGGCAGACAAAGAAAGTGTGACTGGTCAGAAGAGGCAGAAAACATCATATGGTTCTCTCCTGTTGTGCTGCTGTAGCTCACACTGCAACATATAGAACAGGTGGCTGATTCCTCCATAGAAGTTTGACAGTCCTCTCAAAGGGGATTCCTCAGCATAGCTATGCGAGTGATGAAGAGACAAAAAGTCATTTGTTTCCCATGGATGTCCCAAGACAATCAAGGTGTGGACCTATTTTCCCATTCTGAGTATCGAGCACAGTCCAGTGAACAGGGTATATACTCTTGTAACACTGAACCTCTTAAAAACCTTCTATGATTGGGTGACATGAAGCAGATAAATTGTTCTTGCAAAGCTGAAAGTTGGTCAGATAAGCTTGGGTATTTTACTAAGTAGTGCTCCTAGTCTCAATCTCCAGGTATTTCCAAGGCTGAAGAACAGAAGAGTTTCTGGTTCCTTAGAGGAATGTCTGTTCAGCTTGAATCTAATACTCGATAGTGCTGTGGCCAGAACACTGAGCCAGAATAAATACATTAAATTTGGTGTTTCTTTCATTCTTGAACTATGGCCCTGGTTTGTGAAATACTTAGTTGTTCAAAGAGTAAAATATTGAGTCACCAAAAGTGAGAACTGTGACACTGAGGGGGAGTGAAGCCATCAGAAGTTCTGTCACAGGTGAGAAGGTGGGAGAAAAGCAGCTTTTCTCAGCTTTATCTTTTTATGGCCCAAACAAGTAAAGTCTGTCAGATTCTGCTGGCTCCCTGATCAGGCCTGAAGTGCTTGGGTGTGATGACAATAAGTATTAGTCATGATCACAATGTTATTTGTCCTGTAGATACAGCTGGGTTTTGTACTTGGATAATGAGTGTCTCAACAGGGGAAGTTTGGGCATTCTTCAGAGACACAGCAGGAAAGAGGGTAAAGATCTCTCCTTGCCTTGTCTGGTTCCGCTGAATCGCAGTCCCAGCAATCACAGGATACAGGAATTGCTCCACAACAAGTCTCCCAAGGAGACAGGACAGAAAGAAAGAGAGGAGCAGAGCTCTGGGTGTGCTGGTTTTGCTGGGATAAGTTAATTTCTTCACAGTAGCTAGTATGGGGCTGTGTTTTGGATTTGTGCTGAAAACAGTGTTCGTAACACAGGGATGTTTGAGTTACTGCTGAGCAGTGCTTACACAGAGTCAAGGCCTCTTCTGCTCCTCACAACACTCCACCAGTGAGTAGGCTGGGGGTGCACAAGGAGTTGGGAGGGGACACAGCTGGAACAGCTGACCCCAATGACCAAAGGGATATTCCATACCATATGACATCATGCTCAGCGTAATAAAGCTGGGGGAAGAAGGAAGAGGGGGATGTTTGGAGTGATGGCGTTTGTCTTCCCAACTGACCGTTATTGCTTTCCTGGAGATGGCTGAACACCTGCCGGCCAATGGGAAGAGGTGAATTAATTCCTTGTTTTGCTTTACTTGTATGCGCGGTTTTTACTTATTAAACTGTCTCTATCTCAACCCACGAGTTTTTTCACTTTTGCTCTTCCCCTTCCGATTCTCTCCCCCATCCTGCTGTGGGGAGAGTGAGCGAGCAGCTATGTGGGGCTTAGTTGCCAGCTGGGGTTAAACCACAACACTGGGTTTGAGAGAGCAGCCTGCAGCTCCGTGAAAGGCCTTGCAATTCACTTGCTCTCCCGTGCTTTGTATTGCCCTAGGAGGTGTTCCCAGACAGCACAGCGCTAGCCAAAGCAGTGAAGCTCCACACTGACTTCAACAGAGGGTGAAAAGTGTTTCAGTCCTAATCAGAGCACTGCTGGGTTTTCTATCAAAAATGCCCCAAAACGGCTGTGAGTTATGCCCAATAAGTTTAATAACTGATGAAACAGTAGCAAGTGACAACTACAAAATACAAAGCAGACACGAAAAATGATGGCATAACAGTGGGAAGGAATAGTGTCTGCGATGAAAGACGAAAGCAAAATACACTTAACAGAGGATACAGATTCAGATATAACACACACGGTCACATACAACACCGCATTAGTAACAGCACACACAGATACTCATTATACTGGGGATTTTCACAGTTTTCCACTTCATCCCAGATGACAAGAAAATTGATGTTTTTACTCTCTTACATAAATTCTTGTGCACACAACATCATCAGCACCAAAGGTCTGGAAAAGAAATAGAAATCAATCAGAAGCGATGGAAAACAGCAAATATTTAACACCATTTTTTCATGTTATTTTTACTATAGTAGCTACAGCAGAAATACATTTTCCTATGTCTTTTGACAGATGAGAAGAAAGAAAGGAGTCATTTTGGAAGAGGAATGCAATGTAAGCGACCTTTTTTCCAAGGCACGATGAATTTTGTCAGAATGATAAATGACACAGAAATTCCCGTTTTCCGTAGTTTCTTGGCAGGCATTAATAAATAAACATGAGAAAAGAAAGATAATTTGGAATTTACTGTTGTTATATTTAGAAACAGTTGCAGCACTTTGAAATGGAAATGCTGATGGTGGAATTCAGATGGCATGTTCAAAAGGTAGTCCTTGGTATTTGCAGGTATAAATCAGAGTAGTTCAAATGAAGTCAGTGGAGCAAGCTGAAGACCAGGAGAATGTATACCTATGACATGTAAACATAATGCTGCTGCAAGATGTTGACACACCATGCTAGGATACCAAAACCCTCTTTCCCAAGCTGTAATGTGGGCAGTGTCAATCACAACCTTCTCTCAGGATACTGTGACCTTAACCAGTGAATTTGTTATCTATGGTAAGGGTCTGAAATGAGGGCACATACTGGAGAAAAATGTAGTGGAAATCAAACTCATTTCACATGACTAAACACCTATGAGATCTCACAAACATGTGATCACTACACATCTGAAAGTCACTGACTTACTACAGACTATGTCCCATTATCGTCCCATTTCTTACACTAGATTCAGTACCTCAGAGTACCTCGATTTTCCAGAATCTTAGCGCTGGTGTTACATGATGTTATACCACTGACCGAAACTGAGTTTCAGATATTAATCTGAAAGCCTGCAGTTTTTAAATTGCTCCGCAGTTCTGCACTTAAAAGGCAATTCTACCACAGCAACATCGCAGTATAGATTAGCAGGACATTTAGGCAGGACAGTGATCGTGGCGGCTATCTGAGAAAGCCACCTAAACCCCAGAGTGTTTGTATGTAATTTCAGGTCTGGCAGGCTAAAATCTAAGCAAGCCATTAAGCATGAAGGAAATAATGGGTGCCAGAGTGAGTACTGACTGCAAAAAGCTTCATGTTCAGCTACACTGACAGACAGTTTCGAGCTCACCACTAACAAGTTGTGAGGTGGAACGTTTGGCTGTAATAACTGCCAAGGTCTAACTAAAAAATACAATTAAGACCTACCCCAATGTATTAGGAAAATTCAGCTGGACTTTATTTGTTTTAATGCTTTCCACGCCTGTTTTGGCCAAAACCTCTTTGAAAGGACTTGGCTTTAAAACTGACTCGGGCTTATATTTTGTTCACTTTATTGAGGAGAAAAGTCTGTTAGCATTTTGGAGATACAGGCTTTGTTTTTATGCATATAAAGAGCTTATCATATCAATCTTTACATACATTTTTAGCTTACGCATGAAAATGTCTGAAAATGAACATTAAAGGATGCAGATAGTTCTCTATTGCCCACAGCAGCAGCTGCAAATAGCCTTACTATGGCTTCCTTCACCATTTCCAAAATTATACACAGAGACGAAATTATTTCAGCCGGAGCTTTGCCAGAGAAAGCAAATCAGAGTCAAGACCATCCAGGGGTTGAGGTTGTCTGTGGAGTCTGGCAGGTCACTGTGACAGTGATTGTCTTTCTATGGTACATTCAGGCACTGCTAAGCACAGTGAAGTTTGGGTCCCCCACTGCTATTTCAACACAATTCATAAAGAATACTAAAACAGTCTTTGTGTAGTGTTCTTCAAGATCTGGCACGGCCCCAGTCTGACAGTTGGAGCTGCACAGCTATGCAGCCACATCTCCGATCCGAGTGGGTGCCACATTAACCAGTTCTAATGAGAAAGGCTGCAGCAGCAGTTTGCCAAAACTCTGGTAACCTCCCAAGTAAATGTATGTCTATTCTTTCCGGGAAATTAGGAGACAAGCTCCTTGCCCTAAACCTGTGCAACAGCAGTTATTCTCACAACAGGTCAGCAGCTGTATTGAGATGGAAGTCTGCAGGGAAGAGTACATTGAAATAGATGTGATCCATACTGCAAGTCTGTCCTAGGCTGCCACTGTAGGTTGCAGAGTCTGAAATTCTAGTGCCCAGTTCTGAGACTGTGCTCCTGGGCAGAGCTCACTCCTAAAACATCAGTGTAGTCTGATTGGCAGCTTCCTTGCAAGACCCACAGGAGGGAGTGTGAAAATAAAGATAAAAATTTGTGGAGGAAGAAAAAAGAAATAGTAACTTTCTAGGAAAGCTCAGTAGTATGAGTGCATCCAAAATGCTTTGCAGAGGCAGCAAGTTCACTGTATGTACACACAGACTGACTGTTGTGCACTCACAGAGTCACAACTTGGCACACTTGTGACAAAGTGCAATGGCTGTTTGTTTTGTACTTCCAACATCCAGCTCCAGCTGGACTTGTGCACTCTTGAAAATCTCAGGCAAATGACTGCATTCAAAGTGCTCTGCCAGGATAAAAATTAAGAGCAGAAAACATGGACATACCTGGGGAACCCGAACACATAGTAGTCTTAGTTGCTATACACAAGGATTGTCATTCTCTGCAACACAGCAGTCTCACAGTCTGGAACATCACTATAATTTAACTCAATCATATCTTTAAATCTAGATCATAAAGAGATAAAATTCATGCAAAGCCCAATTACAATTACTCTGGAGTACCATGTAGCCACTGGGCACTTCTCAAACAGCCAGGCATCCTTTCCTTGAAGACCCAGCTTAGGTTATGCGGCCTGTGATCTATTTCAGGAATAGGCTGCATTTTTTAGCACTTAGGTTTTATACCTAATACCCAATTCAGATGATCAGTGACCTAATTCCATACTGAAGCACATAAATGGCTTTGATTGTCATGGTTGCGTACATCGTTTAAATGTGGACTTATGTAAAAGGTGTTTCCCTATCTTTTTGTAACTTACTAGCACTGTTGATAAAACACCACTAAATGTTGCTAAACAAAGCAGAGAGGAATGTGTTCAAGCTTGCTGCATTCCTTTTCTTGTGGGAACTCAAAGAAATGTCTAATGTACAGCTGGATCTCAGCTCAGGGGAAGGTCCAAGTCAAAAGGCTGTTACTCCTCTATCCGTCACACTTAAATCCTTGTATTCAGGGGTAGGATGAAGCAGTTTACTGTCTATGGTTCTAATTCTAGATGGGAAAGAAGTGATAGTTCCTGTCAAGCAGACTTTAAATTTAGCTTTCCATGACCCAAAGGAGTAGAATGTCCTAATAAAAAGAAAGAGAGCAAGCAATTCTGGCTATTTGGTGGCAAAGTTTCACCAGAGCAACTGAAAAAAAGTGCAACACTACCAAACTGCAATTCATATCTAAGGAGAAGATGCAGGATTTTCAAACACCATGTTCTCATCAGGTTGCAAAGGTCCCACTTATTTCGCAAAATGCTACAAGGCAAGGCTTCTACCTAAATCTAAAATAGGAATGTGCAATGATTGCAAACTACAGAATTGTTTTCTTCACTTAGGTTGTCATAATCTGTAGTTAAGAGTTCAAAAGCACACTGCAAAGAAAGTCCTGCAGAGGGGGATAATCCAATAAATTGACCTCTCTCAGTTCACTCAAAATCTGATGACCATTGACATCATTAGCGATTAAAAGAGAATTACAGGGCAGTAATATATTACTGTATGAGTAAATCAGCTTTTTGAAGGCCTTCTTTATAAACATTTGCTGAGGAGCCTGTGTGATAAGTGGAGCGCACCGTACAATTAGGAAGACCGTCATTGAAACAAGCACCTGGGAAAGATCACTTCTGCCAGTGTATGCAAAAATCCCATGTTATCTGCTCATGACTGACCAACTTGCAGAGGCAACTTGCTAAAGGAAGACAGAATACATCAGCAAACAAGTGGAGAAGAGAAGATATTATTTAAATGAATCCTCAGGAGAGGCTTTATCCACATGCAAACTTCCATGTTATCCAGAATAAAGATATTAAACTTCACAACAGAGGCATATTGCCTATTTCCTTTCTCCTCCTGCCTCCCATGTTTGATGAAAGGGGTTGATCGTTATGGGGCCATAGTCACAGAAGGTGTAGCCCCCACTTTCAAACTTGGATATTAATAACAAATCACCCAGCATACAACCTCACTTTCTGCAGGCTATCAATCGACAGGACCATGCAAAATCAGGTTATTTCTCAAGGTACCTAAATGTTGTTATTTGTGTTTGAGAATTGCTATATTATACAGTTTCCTCAGAGTCACGCAGCAAATAAATGACAGAGGTAAGAACATGAGACAATGGTATCTTCCAGTAGTAGTCTTGAAAGCCAGTACATAGCAAACATCTAAGCTACAACTGATATTTATAAGAGGCTATATACAGGATCAGATGCATCCAAGATGCAAATGGCTTCGGCTTCTTTCTCTGCTTGTGTGTTTGGGATATGACCCAGACCAGGCTGTACTAGTGAGCAGGGGCTGCAGATTCCTAAGCCCCCTTGTAAATCTGCTTGTGGCAAATAGTAAATTAAAGCATTAGTTCCATGCAACATATATGTATGTGTTACTACAGGCTTCTAAACTTTTATCAAGGCTGCTCTACTGAGGTCAGCAGCAAAACCCTCCACTGACCTCAGTATAAGTAGGTCCTCCTTTTGATAACTGATTTTATTTAAGACCACTCTCCCAAAACCATAGAAAAGTTAAACAGGTAGTTTAACATTGTTTGATACAAGGCTAAGGCACATCACAAATCTCAGCATTCGGCTGCAAAGTATCTTTCCAAATCTGCATTGACACTTCTCACCTACTATGTTTAATTTCAGAAGCCAGCAATATCATTTAAAAAATGTTCACTCACTCATCTAGGCTCCACAGTTCACCAGTTTTAATCAACTACAGCATGATTTTTCTGGGGAGGGAATGTAGAATAGAAACCATGCTTGAAACCCCCCTCATGTTCTGATCTTTGACCCTTGCTATAATTGATTCTGAGAACCCCAGTGTGATACATGAAGTGTGTAAAATCTGGTCTGAGGCTGTTTTTAAAGCCCCTCTTCAGTAATCGTCCACATTAAAACGTTTGTGTGTTACAGATTAAACTAAAATCTATAGAGGCATGAGCAGCTATGAAAGCAGCAATGCAGATAAAGTTTGAATAGAAATGTTTCTCATTTGAATAGCTAACATTTGGAAGCAGCATCCTTTAACTTTGTAAGAGGAGACCTTTTGTTCTTCTGACTTACACAAGTGATTGATAGCTCGTTAATGTCCCTGACAAAAACACACTGCAACAACAAAAACATTATACAGTATAAAAAGGAAGAAAAAGCATATTAAAATAGACTTGATCCCAGCTCTTACTCTTCAGACAAGTAAAGGAAATACAAACTTGTATGCTATATTCTCATCTTGATTGCTCAAGTGCTAATCCAAGTATAGTTTATGAATGTGGCATTGTAAATACTCTCTGTATGCATTACAATCTTAAAGTACAATACAATATAATCTAAAGATACAGTCAAGACAAACAAATGTGGGTTTTGATAGGGATCTATCCTTTTCACCCTCCCTTGCTTGCATATTCCATGTAATTTTTTTAATCTACATTGTTCAGTACTTCTAAAAACGCAGCACTGAAATCCCAGCAAATGCATCAGATGAGATTAGAATACCCAGCAATGATGAAAGTAGTTGCAATGTTATAACACATTCACAGCAGCTTTTTTTATAAAGCAGAGCTTGATCCTTCTTCCCTTACTCAGCTGAAAGGACTCATTTTCTAACAGGACTTTAGACCTACATCTGCCATTGTATGAGTCAAATATTACTTATGCTACTAACAAGAGTAATCTCATTCTCCATGCTGCAAGGAGCTTAGGAGAACTAAAGGCAAACTTAACTGGTACCTAAAGGTAAAGAAAACCTTTGCTAACTAAATAGTTTGTTCCCAGCATCTGTGTACCAAGGACATGGTGTGACATGGAAGACTATCATATTGCTCCAAGGGTATATCTTTGAAGAACATAAGGAAGTCTTCTGTCAGGATCCAAGAATGATTGATCATTATACAGTAATATGGTTTCCATTTTAGCTCTGTGGTAGTCATGACAATTCAACACTGATTTTGTTTTTATTATATGTGACAATAAATGCATTTTATTTAACATGCTGTGTTGGTGAGAAAAATATATCCTTCCACTAGGAAAATGTCATCATCTAATGGACCCCCTAAGCAATGCAGCATATTAGATCAAAAATTATGTGGCAAAGCTCCAACATTTATGCAGCCAGTATTAGCAGAGTAAAGCTCATTTCTTCCCCCCTGCCTGTTGCCTCAAGCCTTTTTTCCATTCATGCCTCAGTCTGACACAGTTTAGATTCCTTCTTGCAACTTTTTTCAAATGGGGTATGAGTTTTCTTGATTTCTTCTGCAAATGCATGCAATAGCTAAGAAGGAGACTCAAGACTTCTTGAAAAATTTCTTTGGATAGAGAAACGGGAGCAGAGACTGTGAGAATAAGTATCAGCCTTACAGAGTTCCTAAACTGCTACATCACAGGCTCTGCCCCATAAAAGACAGCTTCCCAGCTGCAGGCATCTAGAAGTTCACAAAATGTGGTTTCCTTCTGCTTATTGAAGGTGCTCTGCCAGAATGGAAATACTTAAGCTTACCAAAGCACATCAGAAAGAGTAAAGGAACAGAAAATATTTCTTAGGTAAGTAGGGAGGTTTGAGAAGTGTGAAGATGGCACTTGTTAAATGTTTGAAGTGATATGGGCGGCAAAACTGAATGAGAATGAATTTCAGGTCCTAAAGAATCCTAACAAAGCTGGGAGGATGGAAGAAGAAAGAAAGGAGAAGACAAAGAAAGATCTCTTATTCTCCCTGCGATCTCAGTTTTGAAGAAGTAAGATGTAAGTGGGGGTCTGCAGACTCAGATCCAAGGAAAATTTCCAAGCATAAGATGAAATAGACAGTCTAACTTGAATCTTTCTTCACTGGAGTGATGAAAAACCCAAACACATTTGAGAGGCAAGAGATCAAAAGGGATCACAGGGTCTTCTCATTGAGAGCTCCTATTCCTACTTTGTTCCCTGTTATGGTTGAAGAACACATCTTGGCCAATCTCTTCAGGTAGTTTAGCTTTTAAAGCCCAAATAATGGTCCGGAGGGAATATTCTGAGGTTCTAAAATTACAGACAAGAAAATGTAGCTTCCTTTACCCTCTTCTGTCTTCCTCCAAACAGTAGAACCTTTTGCTGCCTCCCAGAAGGGTTAATTTTGGCCATCTTAACTTCTCCAAAGGACCAGAGACCTCACACTCACCACCATTACTCCTAGAAACACCTCATTGCTGAGCTTTAGGGTGTCAGAAGATTTTGAACATGTTGACCCATGTATCTAAAAGATTTGTACATTCATTCCTATTGAACATCATGAGGGGCTTGAAAATCTTTGTCCTGAGGACCAAGTAATGTCCTAATATTTAATAAGGCAAGAGAGGCTATTATGCTCCAGAAAAGAGGTAGGAGAGTGGAATTGCATATCATATTAAATAGTAAAAGACAGAGAGAATGATCTGGATCACTTAGAAGCAAACACTATGTTTTCATAATGGCCACAGTAAAATTGTACATTGGAACCAATGAATGTAGTCCCAACTTGCAGGAGAGGGGAAGGAGATCAGTCTGGGGAATCAGAAACCAGGAAAATTACTTGGGATCATGATCAGCTGAGCATGAGTTCCCCAAGAAGAGTTAACAAAGACTTTGCAGGTAAATCAGAATAATTTCAGGTAAGAGTAGGGAGATGAAGTCACCACTGCATCAGGTGCTAGTGTGATTGCTAGCAAAACAGTATGTGCAGTTCTGGTGTTCATAGAAAGGAAACTGATAAATTGGAGGGGGTTATAGAAGCACTGTAAGAATGATTCAAGGAAAGCTTGCTTTATATTGAAGGGCTCCAGGTCTTCCAATGGTTCAGCTTAACAATGAGAAGGTTCTTCCGAGAGGTGGGTTGATCAGTGTTGTTAAGAGAAGTATTTGCAATAACAAACTTCAGGCATATTATTTAGGTTCTTTTATACACAACACGTAATGACTGGAAGTTTAACCTAGACATATACAGATTAGAAATAATGTGTGTATTTTAATGGCAAGGAAATTAACCAGTAAAACAACTTATCAAAAGTTGTGACTGAGTTCCTATAAATGGAAATATTTTAATAAGAAGGAAGTTTTTCTAATTTATATCCTAATTTGAAAAATAATGAATTCAGAAAAGCTCACCAGACTATTATACAAGAAAAAAGGTTAAATGGCTTTATAATCTTTGAATTGCTCTGGTTTCTTAACCAACTTCATTCTTCTTCCCCAGCAGGGTAAGTTCACATTGCTGATTGCGGGAGGCAATTGTGTTATGACTGGCTTCCTTGCTTTGCTTGGAAACGTTCACTTTGTTTAACAGCTGCCTCACTAGTTTGTTGCTTAAATAATAAACTACAGAAATGTATTGCTAGAAAGCTAGAAAAAATGTAGTTGAGAATGTATTTTGTCCACTGCATTATATATAAAGATGCGAAGCAGAGATCAAAGTACTTTGCCTCCTAAAGTTTTTTGATAATACAAAGAATTCCAGTGGTTGAGTCAAAAGAAATCATCCAGAATTAGAGTATTCATTCAATAGAAACCAGTGTGATTTCACTAACAGAATACACCTCCCCGTAAGGGGTAGGTGAACAGTTCCAAGATGTCTGGAATAATATTAACACCTTAAAAGCTTTTTGATTATACTTGGTTAGGTTTGGGTCCTGGTTTTGTTTCAGATGCAATCTTAAAAACAGAGCTCCAGCTGCTTTAGAGAGACATTGGGGAGGCTGTTTGGTTTTTAAAGTGCAGAGGTTTAGTTCGTGTGATAGTTTGAAATAAGACCTCCCTGCTTTGATGTTTTCTTACCCGTCACTCCAGCAGCCTGTCTTCCATGCCCAAACTGATGAGGCGTAACAGTCTAATCAACTATTTATCCAGAAGTCACTAGTAAGAATATGTGCAATAAAATTATTCTGAACTCAGGCTGAACTGTGCTACTTGTAACTCAGAGAAACTGTGTCTTTATCCAGTTCTGGATATTATTTCATTAATGTAGAGGGACTACTGAGGAAAGATTCAGTGAAGAGAACTCAACTCCAACAGAAATAAAGTACAATATAAATAAATAAACCACACATGATTCATGGCATAAATGGCGAGGCAGTTGCAGAGATGCTGCTCAGAATGCCTACAGTAACCCTGCTGCCATATGCAAGGTCACTCAGGAGTGGGGGAATGTTGGCTGACAGCAAATGTGCAAACCGGTATATTTTTGAGAAACTCATGAAGGCGATTCTGAAGTGGATTCAGAGATGATCAAGGAATTGGGGAAAATGGAAGAGATGGGGGAGGAATTATATGTTCTTCATAAACAGAATGAGATTAGAGGATGCTAACATGCCACATCTTTCCTACTATACACCATGTGTTTGTGGATAAGAAGCAGCAGACTATGCACATGCCTAAAAAAGAAGGTTCTCCAGAAATGAGGTCAAATGCCTTGATCTCACTTTCACCAGAGAAAATCTGCAATAAATCAAGCAAATTCTTTAGTGGTGTGAATTTATAGAGCAAACATGGCCCACTTGTGATTATTCTACCAGTAAAAGCATGGCAAAAGTTCTAGCAATAAAATGCAAGTGAGAACCTGCATATATCTTCATTTGTTCTTAAAAAACCAAAAACCATTTAAAAAGAAAGAAAAGTGTTGTATGAAATGTACTGTAGAGGATTATGAAAATGGTAGTTTTCCAGATGGATTTAAGGAAGGAAAAATAGTAAGTCATACTACAGGGTAACAAAAAACTGTTCTTACCAAAATCAGCTCATCATTAGCTAATTCTCGAGTCCAGTATGTTTTGGGGCCATCTCCTTCAATAAGAGTTTGTTTGCAATAGATCTTGTTTTCATTCTCCCAAGTGGCCAAACTCTGCAGGCAAGAAAACCATTAGGAATAACATTAATTACATTCCCCAGCAGCATGAGGCAGAGAGACAACAATGAGCAGTAGTGAGAATAATTGCTGCAGTAAAGGAGCAACACATAGATAGATAAAGGCAAAGGGAAAAAGACATCAGTGGAAAGTGGTGAAATGAAAATTAAGGTGTGAGGGAGCATTTTGGAAATAGGTATATATTAATAACAAAGTAATTGTAAATGTGTCTTTTCAGTGTAAAACTGCATTTGTTTCCAAACTAAAAAGCCACCCAGTTTTCATTAAACACTTGATGTTGAAAAGTATAATTTAGCAACATGTGATAATGTAGTGTCTACATTCCCAAGCATCTTTGTACACATGTGGTTGATCGGACATGTTATTTATCACTACAGAGTCCCCTTAGCATAAAGAATCATACGTATCATGTTGTGGTCATAAATAATGCAGTATTTGTCACTTACAACCTTTCATGCTATATGGCACAGTGCCAAGTTAACTGTATATTAAACACTTACTGTGCTAACAAACTAGAATAAATCACAACTAAATTAAAGAAACTTTGTTAGAATTCTAGTGTTTGCGATATTACTTTTTTAAGGTTGTGGGTCTGGAGATTGAAATACCCTTGGGTATTTTTCAAAGCATTTCAATAAAGACCATGAAACCACTGAAAAAGAAAAAAACTCGTAGGATTTTGTTTGGCTTTCACAAACAGGCAAGCCCTGACTCTGTCGCTTTTCATTCTACCACTGAACTATTATTCTGCAGTGCAGTAGAACAGCCGTGCAGAAGGATGCCCTGTAATGAATGTGCAAGTAATCGCTTTATAACTAGCATATGGGAGACATTCATTAGTCTGTGATCATATATATATACACACACATATACATACGTGCGTGTGCATATGTATACATAAATTCAAGTTAACACTTCCCAGACTTTCCAAGGGAAAAAAACTTTACTTTACAATTAGCTATTTAATTTATAAATACTTTTTTTTCAAAACAATAGGGGTTTTTAATCCAACAAGCCATCTTAAATGGCAGTTATAGAAGCTATGCCTTGCAGTACAACTACATATGAGTCGCTCTTTGTCTGTATGAACAATGGATCAAGTTAGTTGGCAGAACAAAACCCGCCACCCCATAAAGTGTATCAAAATCTATCACCAGTCAGCAATTTTGCCAGATATTGCAAATTACATTCTGAAGTATTATTTTATTATCTGTCAGTTTCTGCTCTATGGCCACATCTTGGTTATATACACACAGCAGTACAACTTATTCCTGAGAGCAGACTATAAATAATTTCACAACACATGGAAAAAATCTACTACTTCACAAAACACATTTCTTTCAGATTTTTCCAACTTTCATAGCTTACAGCCGTAATTATTGTTGTTCCATCTGCAGCAATAAATCCTTCTCTAGAAAGCGGGTCACATTTATTATATATGCATTATGCATGAAGACACCAAAATACTACTTTTGCCAAACAAGATAAATTAACAAAGCCAGCAACATTTCCTGAACAAACTCTTAAATATATGATAACTTATCCTAGAGATTAAGTGGGTGTTCTAAATGTTCACTGACTCCCAGAATCTGCCTCCCTTTTTCTTGAATTTAAATTCACAGCAATCACAGTGGAGATAATAAGTTCTGAATTTTTAGTGGTGCAAATGGTCTCAGAAGCTGGCCCATGAATTAGCAGAGATCCTATTTTGGAAATCAGATTATTTCACCATCATAGGATATTTTTAAAACTGTATTCTCATTTGGGACTACATTCCGATACTCTTTGTTCATACCTCTTTTTTAAGTGTTTTATATACACTTCTCTTACAAGCGTGAGAGTAAAGTGCCTGAGGAAAGGATAACTAACCCATGCCTTTGATGATAACTTCTTTCACAAGACAGCTATGAGCACAGCCCCGTTCTCCAATACCCCAGATCCCGTGTATCTACACCAGCAAGAAGCTGGTGTCAGATGCTGCTGACTTAAAGCCCCCTCCACGGCCACAGAAGTGGTTACAAAGGTAGAGGAGCAGGGGCTCACACACAGAATCAAGCCCAAAACACTCCAGTGAACGCCCTCTAATGCACTTCTGCACAAGGAGATGGAGTAATTATGGCTGGTATAACACTGGCTGAAAGTCTGTCTTACACTGTTAAAGACTTATCTGATCAGCAAACTGAGGACATGCACTTGCAAGGGAATGAAAGAGGACTTCAGCCCCAAACTACCAACATTCTGCGGTCCTGCTTGTGAATTCGGCTGATTTATTTCAGGACAGAAGTTATGTCAGGTTTGTGCAGTAAATCCCAACTCTTAAGGTCTCTTTTGCCCCACTGTTCCCCGTGTTCCTGTCAGGGACAGAGGTTGGGGAGAGCTTTCACTGCAGCTGAGGTCTCCAGGGGAGAGGGAAGCAAAAAGAGCTGGACAAAACCCTGCTGGTCAAGGAGCTGGCAAGCAGATACTCGAACTCTGTCTTTGGGACCTGCCATACTCTGTTGCCTTCAGATTTCGGTTTTACCCTGTCTTGCAAGAGGGAGAATGTTGGACAATGGACGAGAGGAGCAGCAACCACCAAGAACCCCCCAAAGAGTGTTTCTGGGAAGAAGAGGGTGGAGGGCGGCAATGCCACCGTCTGGGAACACTGGCAACAGAAGTGTTTTGTCCCATCTAAAAAGAACTTGGTAACACCCCTCCACACACACACACACGCCCCAGCTCTCCTCCTACCCTGCACTTTCGTCCATCCACCGTCTCCTCCTCAAAGCTCTCCCCGATTTTGAAGTTGATCTCAGTGGTTCGGACAGTGGTGGAAGTTTTGATGTATAACTGGTCCCCGTCCTGGCGGATCTCCACGTGGGGTTTGGAGGCGGCAGCCACCGCCACCTTCCTGAGCATGGCATTGACACCTGGGCGAAGCGGGGAGGAAGCAGAGCTTGAAGTCGCCAGCCGTGCCCTGGGCTGAGCTCGCCCAGCACCACGCGGACCGGGGCACGGGCGAGAGGCGGCCGGGGTCCGCAGCG